CAGGGACACAGAGAATAGAGAGATGTTGGTTCAGTAAAGGTGGTGATCTGCAGTCGCTTTCCTTTGTCAGCATTATCCGTCCATGAGCTGATTTATTTAAAATGTACACCTAACCATCAAGGTGAAGAATTTGGAATAGGAAAATAAGATGTGTTTTAACGTCCTTTGTGATAGAATAGTCAGACTGTCGATAACTTCCACATTTATCTCACGTGTAATTCTAAATACAGATGTCTTTTTAAGAAACTGACATTTGTCAAGAAGCAGGCCAAGGGGTCTTGTTGTGAATGTCCCAGAGAAAATAGAGAGGTGTTGTTTTTCTGTCCACCGTCTCTAATAATATCTCTGTGAGTCAATGAGCAGCATGGGAGCTCATGTGTTACAGCACTGTGACAAGAGGCCGGGGGCCAGGGCTTCAAACGCTCGACGTTCTGCTTCATAAAGGCTTTGTCTCCTGGGATGACCCCAAATTGAGAAGCTCATCATGCTGTACAGGAAAGGCCTGAGAAATCAAAGAGCCAGACCGGCATAATGGCCACGAATCATTAGCGAACAGAGGAAAGACAAGGTCATTCGCTAGACAAGCTGCCTGGCCGTGATGCTACTGTCATGGAAAGCGGTGTGTAACTGCAGGTTTGGTGGCTTTTCTTGCTTGTACTCAGTGTTATGTTTTTGGAAGACTTGTGTTTGTATTTGAAACTTGTTGAAAATCTTTTGATATAATTTTAAAATACGTCGAATTAGAACTTTTTTTTGCCTTGCTTCTTTTCAAAGTGCCTGGTTTTAATGACATGTTTTCCTTGTTCCCCGCAGAGCTCCATCTATACCTTTTGTGTCTGACCCCTCTGGTGACATCTTGCATTCATAATAGCTTCCTAACTCTCCTGTTGGCCTTGAACAAACAGTAGAGGTGGTGTGGGCCAGCTTCCGTCCATTCTCTGATAAATCAAATGTTAAAGTCCATTGGTGCAGATGTCTGCTGAATGGAGTAGACAGCAACCCACCGGCCTTAGAAGTGGATGGTGGACCTCGTAAATCACTTCATAATGGATCATTTAGGAAGTCAATAAATGGACAGGGAGACCGTCTGCACAACAGGCCCTGTGCTTCACTTATCACCTAATGTGTGTCTTCCTTGGTCTTCAGGGTCAGAGGTCAGCCTGGCTTTGGGATAGGATATAATCCGTTGGATCGTGTGCGTGTGTGTGTGCGTGTGCGTGTGTGTGTGTGTTTGGTTGATGTTGACACACCCTGAGCTTTCGGGTGTTTTCATGAATTATATTACCAGCGTCATACTGAGTCTGATTATTTAGAAAACATAAATATGTGAAAAAGAATGATTATAAGAAAACAATCCCTTTCTGTACAGGCCAAAGCCAATGTTTCGCCTCATGGTTAAGTTGGTTTTATTTATTTTTTCAAATGTGAATTAATACAAATGCATCAGGGCTCTTGCCCAGTGATGATGATGTGTTTTGATGGGCCGCATAAAATGTCCATCAGCAGCCTCATGCACGCCATAAACCGTAGCACCTTTTGTATTTGTTGAGAGGCCAGAGGGGGGGAAATGTGAAACATGTGTTCTGTTGTTTAGGTGGATGACTGTGGCTGGTTTACCTGCCTTGTTTTTAATAACTGTCCAAGCAAAGCTCTTCAGCAGAAATCTACAGAGGTGAAGCGAATGCATCGAGACCCTGCTAGGCCTGTCACAGCAGATGTTCCAGATGCAGCTGAGTGTCAAATGATGCCTCAGGTCTCATTATCATCCATCCTCTGCCTCCTCATACTTCAGTGGCAAGTCCTTGGCACCCCGTCTCCTGGAGCCTGAGAGATCTGGGCATATAAACTGTACTACAGTGTAAGTGGGCCTAAGCAAGTTGTTTTTTCCTGTGTGAAATGAATAATGCAAATAATTGGTTTTGAAAAATGGTCTAAACCTGCTGAAAGCATGCCAGAGCCTATTTAGGTGCATGTGTAGAAATGTAATGCATAAAATATTTACTTACAAAGGCACCATGCTGATTAGAATAGCTGAGGTGCAGTTCATCATAATTCCTCCAGTAGGCGCAATTTCCCTGATTTGCCACTTGCATTAAAAAGAAAATCACTTCATTTATTTGTTATTGCAGGGATTCAAAATGCCTGCAATCTCAGCCTATCATACAGTATCCATTTATCTTAATTCAGCAAAACTACTCTTCACTGTGATGCTGAAGACTAAGAATACGGAAAATATAATCTGTGTTCCTTATTTATATAAGCTGTTACAGGTTCCTTCAGACTGCAAGACAGAGTTAGAAAACAGCCTCAGGCTTCAATGTCAGGCCTACCCAGACTGATGCACACTATACCAGGGATTCTGAGTGCAACGTACCCCATGAACATTTTCATGGTTGGATATGTGGGGATAAAAATGAGTATAGGCTGTTTTCTTTATTGAAGTTGTGGAATGTAAGTAAATACATTTGTTCAAGTACTGTACATAAGTACAAATCTGAGGTACTTGAACATGAGTATTAACATTTAATGCTACTTTACATTTCCGCACCCATTACATTTCAGAGGCAAATACTGTTGAGTACTTTACTCCACTATTCATTTGACAACCTTTGTTACTGTTATACTGTTATAAGTTAAGATTGTACATGCAGCTCATATAAAATGTGATGAAGTGTTAAGGCTTAAACTAACAGTATATAAAGCAGTTAATGGCTCCTTGAGCAACACAGTGAGACTACACTTTACTGCATTAGTGAGAATAATTAAATAGTATATGACAGTATAACACACAGGGGCTGTATTTCTGTGTTGATTACTTTTTGTAGCCTACTTTAAATACGTTTTGCTGACAATGCTTTTACTTAAGTGACATTTAAAATGCAGGACATGGTGGCTAATGGAATATTTTATTGCTATTTTTATTTAAAGTTAAAAATGGCTGTAATTGTAGCTATACTTTATATAGCCTACTTTCTCCAGCACTGTTGTATTTTGTAATTTCCTACCTGTAAATTAACAGTGAATCACTGCAACTCTCTCATAATAATATAGCCTATTTTATACAGCAGTGGGCCCTCAGCTGTGCCTGGACACAGAGGTGGATGTAATGAATGGCATTAACACATTTAAACCCAGTGTACCTTGACCTAAGTAAAAGCAGACAGTGGGTATCTTTGTTGAAATAATGATAATTTGTACTATTACTGTGGAGAAATGTATTAAATTTCCCAGTTCGCCGTGAAATAGGCTATACATAACTAAGACACAACAGCTGGAAGTTTGCTTGTGGTCACAGATATTAGGTTATCCTTATTTAGCCTGGTTCCACTCAATAGCCTACTACGTGTGTGTGTTTTGAAACCTATAATTAGTCCGAGTATCACCTTTTGATCCTTCTTGCCACTTGTTACCCGCGCCCAGCCCCCCACGAGCCCCTGCAGAGCGGGGGCGAGCCCAGTTTCGTCTCGCGGTGTCTCTCGGCTTCCGACTGGCTGATTCTCAGCACCTGCAGGCCGGCGACGGTTCACACCAGGCGGCTTAAAGGCTCCAGACCTCCGCTTCCTGACCGGACTTTACACAGCAGCACGGTTTTATGACTTCACGTTAAAAGGTATTTTAATAAAGATAAAGATAGGCTAATGGACATAATGCTATCATCTGAAATAGCAAACCGGCCTCCCTCTGAATTTCATATAAATTATTTTATCACGCAAAATTTAAGGTTATTATTTATACTGAATGAATTTGACACTTTCTTGTCAAACTATCAGCTAACTTTTTTCATAAAGTAAATAGCTAACATTGACCTTTCAATCTAGCTACAAATTAATTGTCCATATTGGCTTCTTAATACAGTTTAATTGTTAAGTAATCTAAGTAGTGCCAAAGCTTAATTCAAGGCCCAAACAAACAAAAAAAGTATACAACCAATTAGTCGGCGTTTAAATGCGTGGAAACATTATTAAACCTTTGACACCTTTACAAGCCATTAAACAGTCAGAGGTCAGGGCGCCCTTCAGCACCCCCCCCCCCCCCCCCCCCCCCCAATGGCAGCTGGGTTCAAGGAGAAAAAATACATTATTGAAATGAATCATTAGGTTACGTTTCCTTTTGTATCGTGACAGGCACAAATCCCAAAGTAGACTTTTTTTTCCCCCATCGAGATTAACCTTGACAACAAAGCATTCCTCATAGGACTTCAAATAGGAGATGGAAATGGCTGCACAGATAGGACGGGGGTGACATTCTTAAAATATCACCCAACTGTCCCATTAAATATGAGCAATGATATCCTTCTGGAGAGAGGGGAAATGTAAGTGCTGACTTTTTTCCAGTTTGTGTGACATGAGATGGCATTCTTATTTTAAAGCTTGAAAACACAAAATTCTGAATTTACATTAATTAAATCATTGTTTTACCAAATGATTTGCACAAATGTATGATTGAATGAATATTTAAATGTCCAATAAATCATCAATATTTAATTTATTCAAAACTTTTATTTAATTTGAAAAAGTCTGTCACTGCAATAATTAATTTTTTAAATGACCTCTTATAGCAAATTATATCCATTAATCAGTAGGAAACTTTAACAATAAACTACAATCTGTAACCACAGCCTTATAGTGTTGTTACACACATGGATTATCAAGCGGTAAGGTTCTAGTGTAGTGTAGAGATACGAAGCATGGTCAGTGACTCATTTATGTGTTTATGTTTTTTTTTCTTCATAAAACCAGATGCAGATTAGAACATTTAAACTGCAGTGCAGTCTAATGTTTAGATAGCTTCCAATTTCTGACTCCAAATGATTGCAGGAGCAGCAGACACCTCAACCTATTTCAACAGGCAAATCCGCACGGAGAAACCTGAACAATGCTATCAGTGAGGTAAGCTTTTTTTTTTTTTTTTTTAACCCTCCCCCTTCAGCTGTACAACAGCAGATGGGACTTTGAATAGAAGATTGGCACAAAGAACGTTCTTTTTTTTTTATGAATTACAAGAATTTAATGTTTATTTTACAGATACAGAACAGTCATTCTGCTTCATTTATTTACTTTGTATTGCTGCAAGTCAGTGCCATGGTACAAGCTTCTCAGAGCGGCTCAAAATGTCCAGAATGTTTCAAAATCAAATCTCTTTTTTTTTTTTTCCTCAAACAAAAACATTTGATGTGTTTCGACACCCTCTCTGATGAGCTCAACATGCAAACATCTCGTCTACCTAGAAGGTTGATGGACTATATAACATATGGCTTTTTTGAAAGCATTAAAAACAAGGCAAATCAAAAAGTGCATCCAACACAAAAAAAATCTGTTCCAGTCTGTGAATCAAAGGTATTGTCTGTGTTTAGGAGAGGTCCCTCCTGTCCTCCTGTGTTTGCTGGCTCAATGTCTGCACCACTCAGGTAAGAGGGTGCCCTGATGTAGAGCTTTTGCCATTGGGGTTCAAAGGTCAAATCAGACCTTTTTAAGGGCTCGGAGCAGGTGCCTATTCTTCCCCCAAAGATGCATTTCCTTTAAATAAATATGGCAGGATTTATCCAGCAGGGAGGAGTTTCAGCCTGTAAACGCACACAGGTTACGCAGGCTGTGTGAGCCATCAATAGACAGGGCTGCGTTGCCTTTCCTGCCTTTTTTTCTATTCCCACAGTGCTGTGTGCTGTTAGCCCTGGTGGACAGCAGTCATTATCTGGGCCCGTAGTCATAGTTAGAGGGGCCACTGGTGGCTGAGTACATGTTAGCTGTAGCCGGGTTCATGTGGTGATGGTACGTGTGTCCTCTGATACTGGGTAAAGGGTAGGGCGACGGCCTGGTCTTAGCCCCCAGATAATGTTCATAGGTGGTGGGGTACTTGTAAGGGTGGTGGTGCAGGGTGTCCGGCGGTATAGTGTGGGGGTCTGGCCGAAGGTCATGAGGAGGGCTGGGGCGACCACTGGTGAGTGGGACGGCATGCAGGCCTCCCGGGACGGGCAGGGCGGGGCTGAGGACCCGGGACATCAGCTGGTGAGCTGGGTCAGCGTGTATGGGCGTGCCGCTGGGGTCTCGCTCATATTCCCGCCTACTGTCTTCTGTGGAGAAAGAGACATGAGGACAGGCAGAGACAGACAACGTGTGAATACTTTGTACCAGCAGGTTGTGTATGTTGTCCTGAACAGTGAGTGTGTTCTCTGCAGTCTGTTATGACATGTAGGTTTTGAATACATGTCCTTATACCAGTGTTTTTGGGTGGAAGCCAGGAAAAATTTGCACCCTGGCCTGATATATAATAAAATCTCATTTCACTTATTATTAATATTCACAAGGTGAATGCAGTGTTTAGATCACTATAAAGATACTCATGCACTCATACCCAGAAAAAAACTGTTAAAATCTGACAAATATTGTAATCGAAACCAATATTATAAAATTCTTTCAGGTGGATTAGAAGCTTTGGTATATTCAATTCAGCAAGTATTCAATTGATCAAATTATTATAAATAAAATCGTCCTGTGTAGAAAGAGAGAAAAAAAAAATTTCATTGCAGGTTTTACTGTGTAAAGCTGTGGTCAGTTACATAGTAGCATAAGAGCCTTGTAGTGGATGACACTGACTGGCTGATATTTGATGTTTAATTAAAAGCCAGTATTGGCCTGATGCTGTAAATGCACCACTGTGTTTAAGATTAAAAAAAAAAAGTAGAAGAAAAAGAGTGAAATATGCCAACAACTGAAAGAAAAGCATTTCTCCTGAATGCTTAACAACAGAACATGACTGTGTTTCATGTGTGATGGCAGGCAGGAGTTTTGAAATGAAACAAAGAGCGTGGTGCAGACCTTTCTCTGTGCCGTTCTGCTGCGGGGGAGATGACATTGGGTTTCTTGTTCTGGCAAAGGCACTCATTATTGGCAGAGAGCCTGGCCTGTGATTCCTGGGCCTGGAACAGGGAGAATGGATTCAGTTACACACTCATTTAATGAATGTCAAGGGCACATTTTCTTTATTATATACTAAAATGATGAATGCATATTTTAAGAGTTTACACTGATGCATGTAATGAGCATTAACACGTCAACGGGCCCCTAGTTCACAATGGGTGAAATGTGAAGCGACCTACATGACTCAGATCGGCCTGTTCTATAAAATAATCACAAATCCCCATAAACATCAGTAAATGCTGTAAAGAAAAAACTGCAGAACTGGTTGAACAGCATTTGGAAAAAGCCACTGTGTTTGTTCCAGCTTCCTGATTATCCGAGATGGTTGTGGTTTACTGCACTCTGACAATTAGAGAGAGTCTAGTAATTTGTCAATGACAGAAAAGCTCAGTTGATTGACTATCAAACAATATCTAGCTATTTTGAACCATTGCGGCACTCATTGTGTTCTTTCAAACTCCACCCATCTGGCACCTGTGTAGAGTAAAACAAACAGCAAAACCATTTTGCAAATGCTCTCCGGCCCAGCCAGCTCTGTTGTACATTTTTACATCATGTGGAAACATGCCAATAAGACAATATTTTTGCTGAGTGTAAACACTCACCAGTCCTCTGGGTCACAGTCCCTGAAGCCCTTTGCAAAGGGATTGCTGGCTATCTTCAGCTGTGTGATCTGAAATCCAGAAAAACAGAAAATAAACCTCAGTGCTGCAAACTGATGTGATACACAATGTCAGCTCCTTTTCTGTTATTACTTTTAACTTCTATTAGAAATGACAGCAGAGGTAGAGGTAGCATTATGGACTGAACATTTTAGGTGTCATATTTGAACTCACTGCTGTCTTTAATAAAATATGTCAGTAAACAGTTGCAGGTCTGTTGTTCAGGGCTGCAGCATTAGGCCCATTCAGTGTTATTTAAAACAAAACTGCCACTTAATACAGAGCTTATATTGTTATAGACTGTTCATTTATGAACGCTCTTTGCACTGACAGCTGCATAGCGTCTCATGTATATCATACAGACACGGCACAGTCCCCATCATAAATTATTCATAATCATAACGTGAATAACCTACGTTTATCATCATCATCGTCATCATCATCATCCTCCTCCTCATCATCATCATTTTATCATGTTCCTGTCAATTTATATAATTTGTCTTTATTTCATGAGTCCCATTAAAGGCGATAATGTTACTGTAATTGTTGCCATATGCGCTTCAAGTGTAAAAATAATGAACTGTGACGATCAATATCAGATAGATCAGTCATTCACACGCTACAGCCTGGTCGCAAATATTAAGCTTCAATCGCCAAACTGCAGCGACTCTCACACTGAATCAGATCAGAGACAGAGGCTGACGGAAAGCAGAGCAGCGAGGACGCAGTGAAAAGAGCCACAGAGCAGAGGCAACATTTACGCGCAGAGAGCGCGCCATGGAGCTGCCATGGAGCTGCACCAAAAACTGGTTATTTCTGACTGTGTGCGCAAAATGTGGCGCAGAAATAACAAAAAGACGGTTTTTTATGATCTGCCTCACAATCAATAGTGACTTAAACCGATTTTTTATGGTATCCGTTGATTTTTGCGATAATATTCAAATACCCTAAACATCTACGTTATTTTTACTTTATGACATATTTATAACATATGGGAAATCTGATCACATTCCATAGATGCAAGAACGTAAATTTCTGCACATTTCACCGTGTGAGTGTCGCACAGGTTTAGAAAACAGCGGCTCACCCGGTGGTTCTGGTAGGCTGTGACCGCTGTGAAGCGGGTTTCTTCAAAAACAAAGGTCTTGTAATTCTCCTCTGCGTATTTCTCGCTGTCCTTGCGGGGGTCCACATAGACCACATGAAACCTGGGCTGGTAGCGGTGCATGGAGTTCAGAATGATCTGAGAAAAAGAGATAAAGGATGGATCAGCTCTCATTCACAATGAATTCAACACTGAACTAAAGATTTAGAGGCTGAACTTCCGCAAGTCAGACTATTTTCGATGTTTTACTTTTATTGTTGCCGAATTCAAATCTGGCAAATTAATGATGGTTATATTAAGATTACATGAAATGAAATTGAACAGGATAATTTACACCAAAATATCGTGCAGCTTAACCGAGGTAGTTTGGTGCCTTCTACATATGAACAAAGATCTTATTTAACCTTCTTATATTAAACCTCTGTCAAGCATCTCCAAGATATGCAGGCTATTTGCGGACAGAAGCAAGTTTGTTAACGCCATTAATGGCAGAAATAACCTGTTAAATGTGCAGAGCCATTTAAATCTATTACACTCATCTGAACGTATGAAATCTGCCTGAGAATATTTATCATCATTCTTATTTAAAAATCATAATCATGTAGCAATAATGATGATCATGAAGTAACTGTTTATACCCTCATTTCCATCCTGCAAAGCTCTTTTCTATATTTGCTAAAATATTCCCCAACATCATCTTGTCTGATTTCGCAACTAATGAAACTACTCAGACGGTGGAAGATGAAGCGGGAAGGGCTGAAATAATTTCCAGTGGTGAAATATTCCACTTCCTCGCCGTCACTTTTGGAGCAGAGCCTGATGTGCGTCGCCATTTCTGTGGATTGCAAATAGGCTTTTGGCCACATCTGACTATTAGTCAAAATATCAAAGTTTAATACTTTCTATCAATCAGTCTGAGGGCGAATAAAACTGCTCAACTTCTGCTTATAATAATCTTCACAATAAGAGCCCCCTGGATGTGTTGGTGAAATCCTCCACTGTGGATAGAGCAGCTCTTATCTCCCCAGTCAGTTTAACTGCTGTCTATTTTTGCTAAATTATTTGCATAGTGATGTGTGAGGCCGGCGGTGTGACGGCTGTTACACTGGATAAAGAAACTTCGTGCCCACACGCTGCGCTGCATGTTGTTGTGGTCAAATTAAAGTCCTTTTTACGTGCGCTTTCTTTCCCGCGGTGTAGACTCACATGTCCGTTGTCGTCCAGCAGGTTGTTGGTGAGTTTGAGTTTATCAAAAGAGACGATCTGCTTCATCCACTGCGCGCCTTTAGCCGGAGAGTCCGGGTGGTAGTGGACCCTGCCCGGTGTGGCGGGGTCAGCTTTACCCGCCACCAGCCACGACGAGCTGTGGAAAGCATACCTGCAAGAAAACAGTGAATTAGACAAGAGGTTCCGGTTAGTCACAAAAATACATGTCTCCATGACGTGTAGGGAAACGCACACCGAGGGTAGCCTTTATAAAAATACAAGGCTTCATGATGAGGGAAAAATATGACACTGAATGTCTCTCTAATGTCAGCACATAGTCACCAACATATCTGGTTAATCGTGGAAATATTTCCTAATGTTGTAATGTGCATATATAACACTTTTACATTTATGTATTTATGAATCCATGCATATTTTATTTGATACAATTAGGCCTATTTGTAAATGTAGGAGTTTTTTTATTTCGCTTGTTGAATTTAACAGGGCAAGTTATGGATTGTGCGCACCAGTAAAAACCTCCCAACTCGCAGGCTACAATATTTTACGGCCCCACAGTGACAGATGTGCGTTTCATTCGTCTGAAGATGTCCACAAAGTTACCTGTAACGTTTGTCATCTACAGGCAGGAAGTCCATCAGGAGCATGTAGTCTGCCATGGGATCCATACCAAATATTTTCACTTGGAAAGTTGGAAACATTCTCCTGGCAAAGAGAAAAAAAAAAACATGGGGCGACTGTTAAATCTAGACTTTAAATGGCTGCTACTGCTGCTTGTAGGGTGCACGCTTTGTTTTCATGTCCTACTTTTTTTAAAACTGGATCATCTGTGTGTTCAACTGTTTGAATTGGGCCATTTGGAATTTGTCAGATAAGCCAACAAATGATTTTTGCCAAAGTGTTTTTTTAAGAAAAAAAAAAGAAAAAGAAAAAAAAAAAAAAAGCCAACATGTTTGCAGAGATTCATGCAGCTCCAGGCCTTCAGAGCTTAATTTGGCCCGAGCTAGAGGCTACGAGAAGACGGAGGCTTCAAACTATTGGAAATGACGTGATTCCGTCCGTGCGTAACCAGATAAAACTCCCCCTGATCTGAACGGAGCTTTCGGTTTGTTGTCTTTTAACTCTGCGTTTGTGACTTCTGGCAAAACGCTTTAACTTCTCCTCTGCGTCTTTGATGAATTCCAGACACATGAAGGCCTACACACATGTAGTGGAAACACACACGCGCACATTGACGTTATTTGGGTCCGCGAGGTGTGGTGCTATAAACTCGTAGGATCCAGAGGGGGAAAATGGAAATAGTCCAAAATTAAAATTGTGTGAAAAAAAAAAAAAAAAAAGGCTACAACTGGGAACATGTAGAGACAGTCTTATCAGCACGCTGATACTACACTGCTCATGACCTTTATTCATTTATTAACAATAATGTCTCTGCTTTTATCTCAGAGATTTGGATTCAGTGGCTGCTGGAAGTTTCGCTCTAAGTTGAAATCTCACAGACGCAGCGGCTCGGCCTCCTCCACCTCGTCCAGGTTAGGTTACCGTGTGTAGGGCAGATCCATATCCCCCCCCAACAACATCAGCTGAAAGTTGAGTAATCTGCCGAGTCAGTGAAAGGGATCCTAAAATCAACGCTCAATTAACGTCAGTGTTGTGGCTAGGTGAGGCTGAAGGAGCTTTTAAAGTGCTCTGCTGCAGATCTCCTTTCCCCTGTCAGACAGCGCACAGCGGGAAACTCAACCCTGGCTCTATGGATTAAATCAATTACCTCACGCCTCTTTATATTAATATAATGCAGAACGGCCCAGACACTGCTAGACGCATAACTGGTTGAAAATACTATATATACGGAGGATTAGTGAAACATTTTATGGGCTCTCCGCAAGGGTCAGAGGTCAACGCTGTGCCTGTAAGGATACAAGCAGGATAAAGTAGCCTATAAATTCTGCAATAAAAGGCCCCTGACTCATCTAAAAAAATTGAAATTAATCAGCTCTCTCTACGTGACCGTTTACTGTTTATTAAAAATGTTATTAACCAAATCAAAACAGATATTGGTGTATTGATATACGCTGATTGTAACCAAAATAGATTTTTTTTTTTTTTTGTGAAGAAGTAAGGGAGGGAAGCAGGCCGACTCCTGTGATGAGTCCTGAGTAAAAACAACACTGTAATCAGCTCGTGCACGATCTGATCTGCATTCACACGTGTAAAGACTCAGAGATTAAAGGCCATAATGTTCCCTATAACAGCGCTGCGTATAAAAAAAAGTGAGACTGGAGGAAATCAGCCGAGAGTCACAGTTATCCTTATTGGATCTATTCTACGCAGCAGGATCACATCAACATGGTGTTTACAGCTGACACACACACTTCCAAATACACTGCCTCCTCGCGTCTTGACCTACTCATTAACGAGTCTTAAAAGCCCCGTGCTGCAGGCCTCCACTGTTTACCTGCTTCACATATAGACAAACGACCTGATGCACCGACACAAAGCTTGTGTCAGTGTTAATTCATTTAATTCACTCGGCTTGATTTCTGTTAAGTTTTCTTTAAATACAAGACAAGAAGAGAGAGGAAAACAATATGCAGCTGAATAGTGAAAAAAGTTAGTTCATTATAAACACCAGAAGAAAAGGATTAAAAAATATATTTTAAAAAAATGAATCATTTAGTTTGATACTATTTGCAATAATAGTTTATATATTTTCGAATAAAAAGACACTTAAATTTAATCGAAATAGGCCCATAAATCCCGCCTGTCATTTGCGGCATCATCATAAACACTTAAAAAAAAAAAAAGAAAAAATAAAGACTAAAATTTTAGATATAAAAACTACAGTCAAGCGATGCCGTCATTCTTCCTAAAGGACATGGAGTCATATTAACCGATATGTCAGAGTAAAAGAAGCCTGCGGTGTGTGTGTATTTATCCAGCTCACCTGCCAGCCTTGGTCACGATCATCTCCGTGCCCAGCTGGTTAAACTCGTCCCATAAAGCTTTCATCTCCAGCTGGACGTTAATGTTGGCCACTTTAGGGTTCTTCTTCACTATAGTTTTACTGTTCGGCGTGGAGCTGGAGGACGACGAGGAGCAGTTGGGAGTCCCGTTGTCGCTCGGCGGGGCCTGGCCCGGGTTAGACCCCGGGTAGTTGTAGTTGTGCTGGGCGGCCGGGCACGGTTCGAAGTGGGACTCATGTTGGCTGTACGGGTCCCCGGGGGACGGAGAGAGGTGGTAGCCCCCCGGCGTGTTGAGGCTGCTCAGGCTGCTCGTCGTGAAGGCTGCAACATCGCAAAAATGGGACAGCTGCGTCAGCCACGGACTGGATATGGCTGAAATCATCCCAAAAAACTGGATTTACTAAATATGCCTTGTACTGTTAGTCGGTTATGAGAACGGTAGTGAAAACAGAAGCAGGATTCAGTGAGCTCCAAATGAAGATGTCAGGCAACAAATGCACCCTTTTCGGTTTAAAAGTTTCCGTCTCGGCTGTTCGTTAATCCCTGAGGTTGCATCCACTGCCAGCATACTACAGTCTGCCTGATCTAAAGTTGCAAACTTCCGAATAGTGCCGAAATGTTTCCGAAAAAAAAAAAACTGCGGCGCTCGCGTTGAATCTCTCAGCTACTGACACAAACGAGCGCCGAGTGCGTGTGAATGAGTTTTTGCTTTGGATCGATTGCGCTCTGAGCGGCCTCTGTTGTGCGCTGCTGCTGTGTGTAATACCGCAACCCCGTCTCCTCTCTTATCTGACGCAGAGGGCCTCCCCTTTGCGATAAAACCGGTTCTTATTTCTATTTAGATAAGGAACTGCAGGTAATGTGCCTTTTCCTCGCCTTGGGACGAGACTGATTGACAGAGAAGTGCGCCCCTTTTTAATGGGCTTTCCGGCACCCATTTAACTTTTGGATAAGGGTATCGCCCACATCACCCCCGTTAACAAAGAATAGAGGATCTGACCGACAGAGAGGAGTGTAAACAGTTTACAAGGTAAACACACACTGATTTGCATGAACAAACAAACGGGCAGCAGGTGACTGTTGCTTTCTGGTTATTGGACTAATAGATGTAGGAATGGACATGCTTCCCTCTCCGGGCTGGATATGCTTATTACGGTCTGCTTTTACCATTACACACAGGGGGCCTGTGTAAACTCTACTCCTCCCGGCTTCATTGTCAATGTATGTGTTCCTGTGCACGAATTAAAGTTGACTCTTTGTGCAACGCTTTGGGGTTTTGGAATAGGAAACTTTTTTTTTCTCCACTCAGGCTGCTTTGTGTGCAGACTTCTCCTCCCTGATAGTGATTTCTAGGACTGAATCTGCATTATTTTTTGACAGTAGGCAACCGTGCCAGAATTTATTTTTTACACTAATTTCATTCATGCATTCAAAACAACGCACGCATGTGTGGCTTTGCTCATTGACTGTACTTTTAGATTTTTTTTTTTTTTTGGAAAATGTCGATTAAACGAGCAGTTGCAAGGGTGTTATGTAATTTCGGGTGAGATGTGTACATGCTACAGCAGCTCTATGGGCATCAACAAACAGATTTACCTTCCATTTCCCGGGTCACAGTGCTGTAGTGCATTTTAAAGAAACTGTGGTTGTGCAGGTCTGGCTTGTCTAGGCCGGTGCTCTGTTTGTCAAACGCTGCGTTTCCTGCTTGCTCTGCAGCCGAAATCAGAGAGGCAATACTGAAAGCATTAGCCTTTGGAGAGAGGGGACCGCCGTCGTCCATAGGCAAGGGATCGAATCGGGAAAAGCCGTCTCTCCTCCTCCTCCTCCCCCTCCGCTTTCCAACCGCACAGAAAGCAGGAGAAGGCTGCGCACAATGGAGAGGAACATGCGCCAAAATGGGGTTTTCACATTCCGCCACCGGCGCTCGGTGTGCGCGAGAGTCTGGGGCAGGCTGTTCTTTCAAGTATTCCCACGGCTACTGTGAAGACGCGAAAAGCTTCCCGGCGTTCTGATTCATTTGATGAACCTCTGAACACGTCCTGGTGTCAAAACATAGTTCATCCGCAGTGAAGAGAGAGAGAGAGAGAGAGAGAGAGAGAGCTTCCCTTGTTTCTCCTCCGGTCTGTGGCGGGGTGGTGTCATCTGAGTCCTGCCTTGAGGAGAAGCTACTACTGCTACGAGAATGTCAAAAGTGAGCAAGATCCACGCCTCCCCTGCACCACCAGGAAAAAAAGTGTCTGCGCTCTGCACTGGATGTTTTATTTCAATAAGACCTTGTCAGTCATTTGAATTCAACTCAAACGTCATTGCAATGTCCGGCTTCAGAGTGCGCCTCTTTTCCAGTAAATTACCGCACTATATATACGTGTGTATATTTTATCTGTGCAAGCCCACATAGAGCTGCCCTGGAACATCAGGGGCTGCAGTGCAAACGTGCCCAACTGCAGTTTTTCTTAAACAGGGTTGCAACAGGTTTTCAAGTACATGTACGGAAACTGATTTTATTTCCAGGAGATAGAAAAATACGGACATGGAAATGATTGAGAGGTGGCAGATATGTCACTCTATCTAGGAGATGTCACTCACATGTGGCACTCTTTGGATGAAGAGTTCTTTTACGCATCACACACCAACTCCATTTATTATTCTTGCCTTCTGAGTCCACCGTGCCAAAAGCAGTATAATACAAATTGCTGAATTTCACGCACATTTTACGCACAGCCCCTCACCTCTTACACAGCCGAGCTTGTTACACGCAGACAAACACAGAAATTTTACAGAGCATAACCCCATCACTGCAGCCAGTAAACAGCCAGTAAACAGAGTAAACACACGTGGCATTTTGAGGCCGGAGCTGGACTTGACCTCTCCGCCTTGCGCCTCCAGTGTCGCCCCGTTGGCTCTCAGCTTATCGAGGTTCAGCTTTAATGTGCAGCGACCAAAGATGTGTTTTGTTGTAGCTGCTGCGATAGCGACCGGATAGAGTCTCATTTACACTGGAGTCAGTGAATTAAGTGTGAAAGCAGCAGCGGGGTTCTAATGAGATAAAGCAGTTAGAGGATTAGTCCTGTTTGTTTTGGATGTTTCTCCACGGGAGGGAGGGAGCATAAATAAAGCACTGCAATATGTTGTTTAGGGTAAACATTTAGATAGATAGATAGATAGATAGATAGATAGATAGATAGATAGATCGATAGATAGATAGATAGATAGATAGATAGATTACTCTATAAAAGAAATCAGGCATGGAGAAGTCAAAACCAGTGTAAACCATCGCCTGGATGATGTGTTCCTCCCAGTGCATGCCGGCCTTTTTTTATCAGATATGATGCCATCCACACCGACTCACTTCATCATTGCCAAGTCGGAAGCCTCCTTTGTAAATACTCAGGTGATAACAGACAAAATACAGGAGTAGATCAAAATGGGAAGAGACTGTGTTGGAATTCGCTCGCAGCGGCCAAAGCGTCCTCCACTGCAGTGATCTGACTTAGAGGTGAAAGTTTTAGCGGGAAAAAAATGTTTAACATAAGGATACATTTAATTTTTGTCACGAAAAATATCATGTGCGGGAAGTGCCAGAATATAAATCGAAAGCTTAGGCTAAAGGTAATGGCCTGTGTAAAATACACACGATGTAAAAATGCACAGTGTGAAGCTCCTCAGGAATAAGAATGCCATATTTTTCAGTACATAGAAGTGAGTAAGCCATGAATTACGCAAAGAAACAAGATCTCTGCAGCTCCAGTGAAACAACGGGAGGTTAACATTTACATGAAAGTGTAGAAGATAAGCACATATTTGTACATTTGTGACTTGTCGTTATATTTAAGCAGTTTTAACAGCAGAACCATTTTAATCTGATGAAATAGAGTTTAATTATGAGTTGCAACTCATATCTTTGGCTTTATTTGAAATAGCTTTGCTCTGTAGAGGTCCACGCGCTGTGGACTGTCTCCCGAAGATTTTAACACATAAGATTCAAACCTGACAACAACCAGACAAAGTGAGCAGAGTGTGTGAGCAACCCTGCGCTCTGAACACCGTTTCTCTGTTCTCTGACTGATGGATACACAGTCACATCCTTCTGTAGTTGCTGCTGCTCCTCTGTCAGTGTATAAATGTTTGTTTATTTTATTGAATAATTAAAATAATTATTTACTCTGAGGCCAGTGCGGACATTTGAGACTCTTAATGACTGTAGGAAAGTACTGAAATCATTTGAAAATTCCGGGCCGTCATCTTGTCCATACACAGGGAAAGAGCACAGCACTCAGTGGTTACTGAACCCAAGTCTTTCTAAATGGGATTAAACTCAGGATTTTTTTAAATAGGAAATTTCCAGGCGAACATCCTTGATAAAAAAAAAATATATATATATAACACTTGAAGTCCTTGCAGTCTGTGTGGGACCTGGGTCTCGTGGCTCTGCTGACGTGTAGGAATATTAATTGCGACATTTTATTTCGTTGTTTAATGAAATTAATTGATGCGTCCGCAAAATAATTTTTGGACTTGCTTCAAGTTTCACTTAACCTTTAATATATATACTATTACATCTGACACGATGGAGCTGAAAATAGGATACACTCTGTTTTACAGATTTAAATGATTATTTAGTTGTTGTTTGTTTTGTTTTTTTAGAAATTATTAAAAATGTTTTTTTTTTTTTTTGCAACTTTCTAATTTCTAAGATCGGCTTTTTCACAGAGGGAAATAGTGCCCATTCTGATTTTCTGTTTTTGAATGAATTGCCGTTTATCCCTGAGGCAGTGCTGCTGTTCCTGCACAGTGAGACTCAGTGTGACGTTCACTGACAGGCAACTGCACAGAGGTGACAGAGGCCAACAGAAGGCAAACCAGGAGACCCCCGTGTCATTTGGCATGCGCTTTTACGCACTGGAATAGCCTAAAATAATAATAATAATAAAGTGCACAAATGCTTTTCCATAAGGACATTGCAAACATATCGAGCTGATTGTGATTCTGTGTCAGTGGTTTGACACATTTCTGACAATCACTCAGTCACACAGCTGAGATCCACATGTTGCTGGTTGTCTTCCTGTTGTCTTTTCCAGGAGACTCTCGTGCTGTAGGAGCGGCCTGTGTGACCTGTTGTGGTAACACGACATCTTACCAAACCAAAAAAAAAAAAAAAAACTCCCGCCCATGGCCTCGTTAAATAGCACAGATCTCGTAAACGTCAGGGCCCGGCGGCTGCTGTTTGGTGTTATTATTAAACAGAGATGTGATTAGGTCATCGGTATATGTGGAAGGACCTGTTGTGTGTGTGCGCTCTCTTCTTCTTCTCTCCTTCTCCCGGACTCACAATAAAACAACATAAAACATCCTTTGATGTTTTTACGCTTGTTTTGCGGAGATATTTATTTCTCCAGTCTTTCATTTAATGAGCCACAATTATTAATGACACGCTCACATCATTTTACAGATAATAAATCACAAGTTATTACGCTGATCTTTAAAAGCAATGATTTTCACGTTCATGTTGCGTGACCGAGGCTGTGGGGACCGACGCGGCGCACTCCAAGTATAAAATCCTATCCTGTCTAAATATTGGTCTAAATCCCTGAATATGAAGGAGAGGAAGTGAGCAGTTGACCGCTGACAGCAGAGGGCCCGGGGTGTCCCCTCTCTCCGCGCGGCCGGAGGAAACGCACGGAGAGAGGGCAGGTATGCAGGAGGAAATATTGAAAAGGTGCCTCAGCTATCTGCAGGACCTCCGGTGATCATTATGAGGACAAAAACATGTAAATAATAATCTATAATCTGAGGAAAATTGAAGATAGGTGCCTTAAAAAAAACACTGTCCCTTAAATAAGTCAGCTATTTGCTTTGAATTTATACCTCATGAATAAACTTTAATGTATAAACGGAAGTGGGGAATTTTTTTAAATGATGTTTTTGTAGTTTATTTAGAATTTATTTATTTTTACATTTTGTTTTTTTGGACGTAATCAATGAAAATGCCTAAACTAATTCCGGTGCTCAGTTGTGAACTGAACAGGCCTTCATTTTGATGACCAAGAAGGTTTAGTTAATAGACCTAATGGCTCTTGCAGTTTTGCTGCTGTATCACTACAGTCTCCGACTTTCCAATTCATAATAATTTAATTATTTTTTATCGAGGACGCAGTAAACTGGAGAGTGGATCTTTTGACTGCTAAAAGCCCTGAAAAGAAGTCTGCAGTCTGCAGGTGCAAGCTGTCTCGTGTCTTACAGCACCAGTAGTGGCTCTCATTTTGTCGCTTGGCTAAATCTGTGTATGCCTTCATTCACTGCGCCGGTTAAAAATGTCCACCTCCTTTTCCCGGAATGAGATGTCCACATCGGCGCAAATACTTAGTGGTGTTTTTCATTAAAAACGTCCAAACATTTTACCCTGTGATGGATGTGATGGATATTTGTCCGATGTTTGTCATTATTTATTTTTCCTTATTTGTAATTTCATCTCCATCATCTGTCACTGAGTGGTTAGCTTGGTATTTGGATGATTTTTTTTCCCCCCGTGGCGTTGTTTGGTTGCTCTGATGAATAAAATCAAAAATAGTCGGTTTGATGGTTTCTAAACTTGTTATTATGTGCAAATATATGCAAAGACATTATTTCAGTGTATTTGTGCGCGTGTTTGCAGCATGGTAGACTGTAAATACCGACGGTGGCTTGTGTTCACATAGTGTTACAGGTGTCTGCAGATCTATCGTCCTTCAGTAGGCCTCCGGTCATGCGTAAAGGCGACTACAGCGCAGTAATAATACAAACATCACTGCAAACAACCTGTGTGTGATTTAACAAATAGGGGGGTCAGATTTTTAGTGGAACTTTGGTCTTAATTTTATTTTATAACTGGGAGATTTATCTGACTCCTGTGTTAGTCTATAGCCTGTAAGGACATATTACCTTCTTCTCGATGTTACAGGGCATTCCTCCTTTTTTCAAAAAAAGGGGAAAAATGAGTCAAAACACATTTCCTTGTTGGCATATAAATGTGGTTTTCCTGTTCAGCCCTGTTCTCTTTGTATTTTGGGGGTCATCATAAAAGGACGTGCATAAAAACAATGGACATGAACACAATGGTTGACCAAAGGTGAAAATCATGATTCCCTGGTGTCTG